AGCGTCTCCTAACATGGCGGCTTGTGGAATGCGTCTGTTAAGATAAAACACTGTGGAAATCCTTTGTAACCAGAGAGGGTCTGAAACATAGCATGAGGACCCCGATGAGATCCACAGACTAAAGGTCAGACTCATGCTCGATGTGGAGACTGTCACGCTCATCCTGCAAACTCCAACGGCTGTAAAATGTAAAGTGTTTTTGACCAGTTAACCAGAAAACCAGTTAACCAGAAAACAACTCTCAATTTGTAATTCTCCTTTTAAACGTTATATTACGTTTATCCACATGGAAAGAACCCTGCTGTTGTGACAGGGAGTCATGAAAGCAGTAACCTATATTAGCAGTTGCAAGTCCCAAAACCATAGAAGCTTTGGCCCATGAACATGTTTGGTATGTCGTTTTCTTGTTGCCTTTGACGTAGTTCATTCTAATATAACACACATTAGCAGAACAATTTTGAACAATTTGAGGGAACCAACTTTAGATCAGCAGAAACCTCTGTAAACCTTGACGTCATGTGGCCACCAAAACCTCCTGTACAAGTAGAGTTAATGGGGAATACCTCATTCTTCATGATGTCTTTACTGTCTTGGTTCAGTTTTCCTTCCAACTCATTCTGATTGTGTGGTGGAAGATTTTGCACAGACAATCGTTAAGTAAGAAACAAAGGCTCTGAGTCAAGTATGTCTTTTCTCCGTTTATTTCCTTGCAAGGGAAAAAGGGTCATAACAGCTACGTGGTCAGTAGACTGTCAAGAACCTCCTTTTTTCCCCCAACACATCGAGGCAGTTCTTATACCTAAGTTTAGATATCGGTGGCGTCAACTGAAACCTTTGACCATCTTGTTGAGTATCTACAGCCAGGGTACTGGGAACATCTTATCCATGTAAGACACGTCAGTTCTTTGACCGTGTCCCTGCTCTCCCAACATGCTAAAACAAAGGTGGTCATAGACATAACAAACACTTTGTTCAATCTCTACAGCTATGACGCTGGAAACATCTAATCCAAGAGGGAGACATCAGTTCTTATGTCAGGGCCTTTGTGATCTAACAACTTGCAATTAATAAACTGGTTATACAAATGAAGCATTTAAAAGGGTCACATATCATTTTCCCATTACAATTGTTAAATCCACAGTTGGGTGCAACAAGGTCTCTCTGGGAACGAAGGGAATTACTAAACTTAAGCAAAAGTAGATGAAGCAGAGCGATTTGTCAGCTGGAGGTGACACATTGCATTACAGACAGAGTCAAGTGAAAGCGAACATGGAAGCGATTTTGCATCATTATACTTCAGACAGTGTCCTAAAATCTTCCAGTTGAATCAGACACTAAATAAATAATTTGTGACGCTGATATCTCAGGTGAAGATCTGGTTTCAGAACAGACGAGCCAAAGAGAGGAAGATAAACCGCAAGAAGCTGCAGCATCCCGAGAAGGCCTCCACTACAACGCCGACCCCACTGACGTCGGCTGGACCCTCTGACCCCCACACGCCCCCCAGCCTCAGAGACAACATGGTGTCTGACCACATACCAGAGGACTATAGAGACTGATGCAGCGGGAAAGATGTAAATAGCCTTATTTTTGTTTTTATGACTTTAGCATTCACTGAATGAAGATGATCATCATGACATGATGTTAAAATGCTGCACCGCCTGCTTTTCAACGACGAGCACTACACATCTTTGTTGCATTGACAATCTATGCGGCATTTGCACAAAACTTCAGCGCGTTCAAGGATTAAGAGTTACTGAATAACTTTTACACTTATTCTTGAAGTGGTTTAAAGCAACACTAACAAAGCATTTCATAAGTTATTCTTTCTTTATCTCAAACCAAATGTTGACATTTTTCTGAAATCTTTGTTGATAAAAGTGAAAACATATTCATGAGTAGGAGAATAGTTCCAACAATAGTTGATTTAACTGCATGAGAAATACGTCTCTAAATCACACGTGTGAGTAAATTAATAAACAGTGCAGCACAATGATGGAAGTACATCTGTTTATTGTCATTTGAATTTACAGGCGACGCAGAGTGTTACAGCTCCTACTTCTGAGGGAAGAAGTCGAATATGCTGAACACAAAGTTCAAAACACATTTATTAAGTGTAGATGCTGGATTTAGCAGGAAAATATATCATTACAAAGTATAAACCAAACTTTTTTGAGTTATGGAGGGAAGCCGCTGTGTTTGGTCTAATGAAAATTTTAATGTTTTTGTTTAAAAAAATAAAAATAATGGCATGTTATTTAAAAAGAAAAAGCAACATGATGAACTAATCTATAAAAACACAAATGTCATCATTTACAATTGAAAATATTTATAATGACATTAAGAAATATTTGGTTAAAACTCTTCCATTGTTGAATACTTTTTTCTTTTGCTACAACATCGTGATAACAGAAAGGAACTGAGAGCAAGCGTGTTCACAAATGAAGAACAGAATGAAGCCACATCCTGAAAAACAGCTGCTACACGACTCATTGACCACCGACATTTAACGGCTAAATGCAGACGTTCATTTTTAACAAAAAAAGAAGAAGTCCCTACGTATCCGTTCTTATGTATGTGTGAAATGTTTAAGTGCTACATTGTATATATTAACTCACGCTCACATTGTCACTTTAAAGAAGAGAGAGAAAAGAGGAAGTGGATGTAGAAATGTAAACCTTGTACGGACATATTAGGCCGAGGATTGCAAAAACGTTCTTTTAGAAATAAACCGCTGTACCACAAATTTTGTGCAACTCGTCGTACATTTGTCAATCGTTGTGTTCAGTGGGAGAATTCCCCTGTTTTCATGTTCATGTTGGTTGTGCTGCACATAAAATAGAAAATGATGCTCAGTGCACCGGCCATGTAAACCAGTGGTGTACAGGCTTACCTGCACACAAACATAGTTAATAAATACATGTAATTAATGACATTATTACCTGAGATAAGTTACATTTGGACCATATAAATCATACATTAATATGGTGCATATTACAAAATGATTTGCACACTAACCTTTACATCTCTCACGCTGCTTTACATTCATACTGTTCCACAGTAAAAATATGTACTTTACAAATACTGTACAAATAGTAAATTAAAACTAAAAAAGGGCACTTATAACTGAAGTCTCAATGGAGGATATCTTCAATCAAACATGCTCCTGCTCAGGATTGTAGAATTGCCACCAGTCTTTTATAATTAGATAACTTTGCTTGCTTGGGTAGCGTCACATGAATGTTTCACGACAATGACTAAATCCTTATGAAAAAATAAATGCTTAATTGTAGTCCAACCAAACCTATAAAGGGCTCTGGTGCAACAGTTGAATCTCTTTGGGTTTCCAATGGTGTGCACACACTAAAAGACTAACTGCTGCTACAATACTGCACACGATGGTCCACATACAGTCATTGCTGTGAACAAAGTAGCAAAATGATTGTTCTTTTATATACGTTTTTATAACCCCCCTCCTGCGTGGTCAATGATTAGCTCACTAGAGTTTGCGGGTCAGAAGTTGAACTGTGTTTCAATGAGAGGGTTCAACTAAAAAAATGATCCCAGGTGGTTGTGTAATGACACTACAACTATCAGATTCATGTTTACATCATTTCAAGTTTACAGCGTGAAGGTAAATACGGTCATGAATTAGAAACAAGAAGCAAGGAATTATAACATTATCCAACAAAAATTGTTAAGAAAGGGGAACATAATGTTGCTATTGGAATATTCAAATATTATAATATCTATTTAATATTATGAATAATTTTCATAAAATCGGGGGAAAGGAATTGAAGCTTCTGCCTTCATCTGTTCAGTCTCTAAACCCTGTGAATCATCGCTCTCTACGCACCTTGGCGTACACGCACTCGTCTGCAGCTGGTTCAACATTGTGTCGGGGTCGCTGTGAAAACTTCACTTCCCCGTACTCCACCTCCTCCTCTGCTCTCTGCTTCATCTGCCTCCCCGGCCGCGGCCCAATCCTGACCTCAGAATAGGTTAATTCCTGGTTGTCTTCTTCTGCAGAGTATAAAGAGACACAAATGTATATTTAATGTTGAGATATATAAAGTACTTAAGTAAACATTTGAGGGGCTTGAACTGTACTGGAATCCTTCCTAAATTCTATCAACTACAACAATAAAAGCCTGCTTTTACTTTAATGCATGATCTGGGTTTAGGTTTAGGTTTTTTCAGAAATTTCTCACATATTGTAAAGCAACATTTTATTTTATAGCAACAGAGACCGTGTGTGTCTCTTGTCACTTGTCGCGTCATTGTCTATTGTCCTGGATGTTCGTTAGTTCCTGCCTGCCGGTTTGCCTCCTGTTCCTGTGTGTGTTTTTGCCCGTTGGCCTTTTGCTTTTGCCTTTTAGACTATTAAAGTCTTTTTGTTTAAGAACTCTGCATTTGAGTCCTGCCTTCCCAGACATCCTTGACAACATTCCCTTAACTCTAGTGGAGTTAAATTAGTTTCCTTCAAAGTAATAAACAAAGGATCTGAATAGTTCCTCCACCAAGGCCCGTTGGTATTTAATTCATAGCTTGACATTTTGGAAGTAACTTTTACCAAAAGTTGGACTGAAAGAAAAATATAATTGTCGAGCTTGTCTCAATCTCATCATCTCTTGGCAAAAAAAGTAAAGCACATGAAGAAGGGTCATTAGCAGTTACATGATAGGAAAAGGGATTTTTGTTCTGTACCTTTAGGTTTGTTTTCTCTCTTTTTCTTCTGAGCACAGACGACAGAGACCCCGACCACTAATAGAAGTACGAGTGCAGCCAGTACACAAACTGCTGTTGTCAATGTTCTCACTGTAAAAAAAGACACAAGAGACACACAGAACTTTAACTTTAGAAAACATTACAGGTGTTTTTGTTGAGAATGGAGAACGCAGATAATGGAAATTATATCAATGGATTCACTACAGGGGAGTCCTTTTTCACTTACTGATGCCCCACGAGTCGCCACTGGGAGAGAGGGTCCGGTTTTTGGTGGGTGTGAAATTACCGTTAAGGTTAGTTGATTCTGTGATGCCAGACTCCTTACCATCAGGTAACGTTGGTGTGTTTGTGGGGGAAGCTGTTGTCTCAATACACAGAGTATTATTGTGTGCAAACACCCACTCTGATATGTGCGTCCCATTGGCTGAGGTGCAGTTAATGAAGATGAAGCCTGTGAGACAGAGACCAATAACTGATGTAACGATAATATTTAGTATTGTTGACGTCACCGTTTTGTCGCCTCATGCTGTCACTCACCACAGGTAGAGACCGTCTCTTCTTTTGAGTGACTACTGACGTCATTCCTGACCGAGCAGACCAGTCGTCCTGAGACGTGTTGTTTCAGAGTGATGATGTTCGTCTCATTGATTCCACCGAGGAGCTGAGAGTCTGTCAGAGTGTCTCCATCCAGAGTCCAGCTGTACTGAGGACTGTCTGCTCCCTCAGAGGAGCAGGACACCTTCCTCTCTCCATGGGACAGACAATCATGGACCAGCAGGACAGAGGACACAGGAGCTGAAGGAAACGCACTCGGATGACTTTTCATATTGACATAATCTTGATCATTCTGTAGGGTTCCTGATACAGAGCAGCCCAGACATTGATACGGATATAGAGCACGTAGAGCATAATATGCGTGTAATAAATAGTTATTTACCTTGAATGGTCAACTGTTGAAACCTGGAACCTGATGACTTTCCATTTGAACCAAAGGTTTCAAGTTTATATTCACCACCATCAGTCCTGATCAGGTTATTAATCCTAAGTGTTCCATTACTGGGAGTAAATAATGATCTGTTTTCTATCCTATTAAACGGAATTGAATTGTTTCTCCCCTCTAGTATTATTGTTCTATGTTTTGACCATTGATATTTATGTATTTCTGAGGCTTTGTCCATCAGCTCGAGGACCAGAGTTCCTCCCAAAGCTCCAAAACACTGAGTTCCGTTCTGTCGGCCGTCACAGCGGGTTTCCACACCTGAACATTTTGGTACAAAAAAATGAAACATTTTTAGCCATTTGCTAATTTAAAACAACAATAGTGTGTTTGATGCAGCTGTGTCTCTATCAGACAACATTATGCAAACAGGCGTTTTGTTCCACACTTTAGATTCAGCTGTAAAACATTTTTCCATATTGTAGTTAACCCGTCCAGTTAAAAGGAGTTCCACCTGTGTTTTACACCTACAGCACTTTATTTTTAATTATACTGAAATGCACCACAAATTTAAGAAAAGTTAAGAAATTGTACCTGCACCTCTGAGGAAATTTCTAAACTTAAGACTTGATGTTAAAAGTGAAACACTTTACCGTGAGAGACTCCCAGAAGCATCACAAACAGTCCAACCACAGCCTCCATGTTTCCAGGGTCCAACAAAACGTGTCTGCTGATCTCTGAGAAGCAAACAAGCAAATCCCACTGAACAGCCTGAAGAGATTCCAGCTAATGAACAGCCTCTGAGCAGAATGTGTGAAGACTACGAACCGACCAGAGCGTTGTTGGGTTCATCTATTAATAGAGAAGAGAGAAGGAAGTGATACAGGTTTCACTTCCCCTTTTAGCCTCCAACCATGTGACCTCTGTCGGGGATGAACTGAGTGGAAAAGAAGGAAACATTCCTCCTTCCTGCTGAAAGAGGATTCGAGACGGCAGCTGGAATTTGTCGTCTCTCCATTTCATCATTTCCAACGATACTAGAACATGACCCACTCTGTCAATCATCTCTTAATACATTATTACAAGTTAGATTTGAGCAAAGATTGTCCGAACCTTTCAAACTGCAACTGCTTCATAGACAATTTATTATAACAAACTCTATTTAATATTCAGATTTTTGAACATTTCAGACTAAAACATTCTGAACTACTACAAAGCGTGTATAATGTTGGATCCATTTTTTTGTATTGAATGTTATATGGACTCAGGTACCCGGAAATAAAGTTTTATTTAGGCCTGATTTTCCGTTTTATTTTGAAACCACACAAAGATGACTTTTAGATGGAAATTGAAATAGTTAAAAAAAATCCTGTGAAAATAAAAGATTAAGATCCATTAAAACACAGTTAAGTAAATAGAATCATAGGAGAGGACATGAATTTAAATCTTCATCATGTTAACTTATACTCAAATAGTACAGTAAGAGTGAAGTAAAGGTCATCACAATATTATATCATTACATAACGTCAGCCTCTGTGAACAATGTTTCTTTAGCATCAAAATGCAAAATGTCACTGAAGACTCTGTCGGTCTCTGCTGGCGAATGTTCATTAGAGACAAATAACTTGTGTGTCCTAAACATATCTTTAGTGGAGCAGGCGGTTAGAGTGACATCTCTTCAGGCAATAACATCTACGGGAATATTTTCTATTGATGTTTAAATGACACCCACAGAGAGTTTGATCTTTGAATGATCGGTTTCCTGTCATATCAGAAATAATGCTATTCTTTTTTCACAGTCAGTATTTCTGGTCCATCCTTAAACCATTGGTATGCAGATATTTCTGAGGCCATTTGTCCATCAGCTGGAGGACCAGAGTTCCTACCAAAGCTCCAAAACACTGAGCTCCGTTCCGTCGCCCGTCACAGTGTGTTTCCACACCTGAACATTTTGCAACAAAAAAAGTTTTTTAGGCATTTTCTAATTTAAAAAAACAATGCGTTTGTTGCAGCTGTGTCTCTATCAGACAACATTATGCAAACTTGGAAATGATGAATAGGAAAAGTCTAGAAATCAATATACTGTATCACATTAGGACGAAAGCCCCAAAGATGTTTTCTAGAATATTTAGATCTTAACTTTCGGTGGCTCCATAAAACCATGAAGTCTTAATCGTTCAACTTAAGATAAACATTGTGTAGCTGCAATGAAATGTCATTGAAATGTAATAGAATATATATTTTAAAGCAACTTTCAAGAACATTTGTTGAGCAAATGAGGCTTTACTGGATTTATAACATGATTTTAATTTTAATACAGTTAATTATTTTAAACTAAATGTTTTTTTAGTAGAGATATTCATGAATACAATTCTCTGAATGTGTTCATCTTTGAAGAAAACATAAAAAATGTATGGTTAAGTTTTACTTCCCTTAATGCTGACAAGAAAACGTTCTTTTTTGCAATTGATAAATGTGACCACAAAACATTTCATTAAAAGCATATGCACAAAGATAGTGAATCAATATTTGCTTTACATCTCAATTTCTTTCTTTTGTTACGTGTCAGTCCCCTTGTTTTTCCCTTCAGGTGCCAGTGTGCCTGTGTAGCCGGCTCGGTCTGTGCCTCGCCGACTACTGCGTTGTGTTCAGGTGCACTGATAACAGGACGCTGACATTCCCTTAGGCACTTTATTCTGCAGAAATCAAATAAAAACATGGGCGTGATTCTTCTCCACACGCAACCAGTAACCTCCCCTCAGTCACCGGTGAGCAGACTGATCGTTGAATTACATTCATTCAAAAGCATAAAACAAAATACAACAAATAAAAATAACTATGGAGAATAAATGTCCGCATCGAACTGTTTTCTCTCTTTTCTGTTTGTTCTCCTTAGGAAATATATCTTCTATTCACACATACAACATAAATACCTACAGGATTACACCACAATTGTCGGACTTCCTAAGGTAATACATATCAATGAACATCACATTTGCTGAACATGGTAATGAAATAAAATAGAATAAAAGTACATACCTGCAGAAATCAAATAAAAACATGGGCGTGATTCTTCTCCATACACAACCAGTAACCTTTACAAAAAGAAACACTGAAACATATAGGCTACCTATGGAGACCAAATGGTGAAAGCTAACGACGCACGCACGCATAGAGCAAGGTGGTTAGCTAGCTATTGCAACGTCCCATTATTTACTTCAAATATACATTGAAAGAACATAAAACCACTCGTCCCATATGCCCTTACAACATTATACAAAGAAATGATCAAGTGTACCTAAACAGACAGTGAAATACAATAATTCGGTCTTAATGCTCACGTTGCGTACGGTACGTACCTCCCCTCAGTCACCGGTGAGCAGACTGACGAGGGCACGCAATGCCAGTCAAACAATACACTCTACCCACAAGAGGGCGCTGTTACACAAAATAATATAACTCCTAATACCAAAGCTAATTATATACAGGACAGAAAAAGGATTATGGAGAAATAAAATAAAGTAACTTGAACCAAACACAAAGATTTACATATTTACTTAGACCGGTTACACCTGCACCTGGGTTCCTGAAGAGAGCAGGCCAATCACCTGAGTGCGCCCTGGTGTTAAAAGGAAGATGGAAGAGTTCTGGAGAGAGGTGTTCCTTTAGTTGTTATGCACGCACTGACACGACAAGAAGTGCAGGTTTGTGGTGAGAGGTTGAGGACAGTAGGTACGTTCGGGGCACCCTGTACATTTGTTCACTCACGTAGGTACTTTGTGTATAGCAACATTACGTTATTGGTTGGTGCTTCCTCTGTATTTTGGTGGACGTTAGAGAAGTAAGGGAAGCCATTTTGTTTGTTTCTTTCCCAGAGGTAGTTTTCTCGGCCTACTTTTGTTATCTTAATTTGTATTTGTTTGGCACAACCACATCTCTCTCACTTAGAATATTTTTTGTATTTTATTTATTGTGTAAATAAATCTTATTTAAAACCGTTACTCCTACTTTTGTCTTTTCACATATTCTTTGACTGTCCTGTATTTGTCCCCCCCCACTACTAACAAGCGTTGCTCAATACTGAAACCACATTTCAAAACTCTTCACACATTCAGCGACACACAAGTGTATACAGAACAAACTGAATAATATTTCATTGCTTTCAGACAAGATGCCTTCAATCACATTTCTCAAAATCCACAAACACTTTTGTCATTTATACTCCCCAAACTGCAAAAAACTGTATATTTGCATTTTATATATGCTAACACACGGCTTTCAAAACTGATAAAAGCACATTCAAATCAGAATGCGGAAAAATTTCAAACATTTCTGCAGTAATTATTTTGAAATATAGAAAAACAGAAAATCAAAAAATAATCCGTCAGAGCTAATTGCAATTTCAGCCCAAAGCCGACCCAGGTGTCCTGCTTTAGTCTCATTACCATTCTTTCAATAAAAGGCTTGGAACTGATTTTGTTTGGAAATAAGGATTACAGAAGACAGGTCGGTAGGGAAAGAGTGATATGAGGCAGAGTGTGTGGAAGACAAAGGAGAGGAAGACCGAGAGTGGTGATATCTGATGAAATGTTGTGAACATTGTCTCACTGTAAAAGAAGTCGGTTTACTGTAAGGCTGCCGCCAAATCTGTACTGCTCAACCGTTGCGTCAATAGTATACATTTTCCGGCAAAACCACAGCTGAGATGATACATTTTACAGTAAAATAGTTTAAACTTTAAAACCTGTTACAATTTATTAATTGTGTTTTAGGATCCAAAGGATGCCTCAGAGAGGAGGGGGAGGCTGAAACATTGCAGATTTGCAGGAAAACAAATTACTTTTGATTTTTTCTTGTTACATACGTGGAACTCTACTGTACAATCAATTCCAAATGTGTGTTATGAGCAGTGTTGGGCAAATTAATAATTAGATACAGTTACTAGATTAAAGGTAATTTAATTACTTTCCAGTTATTGTATATCAAAAGTCATTAGTTACTAGGGAATGTGACGTTTAAGTTACTTGTATGTCTGCTTTATAAATGTAATGAATATGAAGAGTACTGAACAGTCAAACACAATAAAATATTTTTTAGACCAATTTATTGTAATCAACAGGGCAACAGGCCTTAAAATCAACCTTTTAATACTTCACTTAATACAAAATAACTGTCTCAGTCATTTGCCTGCAGGCAACCGACTCGACCCCCGTAGGCTCCCCAGCTGCCCGCCGGAGTTCCTCGGGCTGCCCGACCCTCTGCAGCCGGCGCCCTCAAGCCCTTTAATCGGGGGATTAAAGTCCCTTTTTGTTTGCAAACTCTGCGTTTGAGTCTTGCCTCCACCTACCCGTTCGTGACAGTGTCGTTATGAAGAGGGAACGTGCCCTGCATACGAGGAATGTGCCATAGTGAAAAGGGAACCTGCCACCTTTCAACTTTTCGCTCTCGGGTGGTGATGTTGCCGTGATCTATTTCCGGCTCCCTCTTGAACTTGCTCCCGCTCGCTTTTACACATGTTGTATCTTTAGGTGATTACTTAGTTAATTAAAGGTTATTAAAAATAACAACTAAGGATACAAAATGCTTAGGAGCGAGTTGGAACAAGTTCACAGGAACATCAGCACTCACAAACCAACGCCGGACAAGGGGCACACATGGATAAATATACTGAGGAGGTGCAGGTGATTGGACGGGGACAAGGCAGACAATCACGAGGGAACGAGAGCTTTGCCTACCGGCTGTGCGTTGAGGTAAGTCCTATCACATTTAACTGCCAGCGCTCCGCCTCCTGCACCTGCTCCCACTCCTTCTCCACAGGAGAGGTGACTTTCCACGTCCCCATAGACAGCATCTGCCGCCCAGGTCTTGTTCATCTAAACGCCCCCGTTGTCACTGCCGCCCATGCAGCAGCGCACCGCACCCCATCGGTCTACCCCACAGGTGGTGAGCCCATGGGGGGGACAGTAGGGGGGTGCCGCGTCACTCCTTCGGGCTATGCAGACGCTCCTCCGCCGAGCATTCCGTCTGGGCATAGCACCAGATGGAGGCCGCAGGCTTCATCCGGACCAGGTATCTCGTTCTCTGTTTTGTTTTTCCAACTCTTTTTGAACCATTCTTAGTCTGGTCCCTCGCCTGAGATCTCTGTGCCAGGGGAAACCCTCCAGGAGCACCAGGCTCCAGACAACACAGCCCTCAGGTTCATTGGGACACGCAAACCTCTCCACCGCGATAAGGTGATGGTCCCCGGAGAGGACATGTGTGTGTTTCTATGTGTATGTATTTATGTGTTTCTATGTGTATGTATTTATGTGTGTTTATATGTTTATGTATTTATGTGTGTTTAAATGTGTATGTATTTATATGATTATGTTTTGTGTACATAAATACATGTGTGTGTGTGTGTGTGTGTGTGTGTGTGTGTGTGTGTGTGTGTGCGGCGCGTGTGCGTGCGTGCGTTGGTGTCGTCGATCTTGAATTCTGCAAGAATTCTGCATTCTGTGTTTATATGTGTATGTATTTATGTGTGTTTATATGTTTATGTATTTATGTGTGTTTAAATGTGTATGTATTTATATGATTATGTTTTGTGTACATAAATACATGTGTGTGTGTGTGTGTGTGTGTGTGTGTGTGTGTGTGTGTGTGTGTGTGTGTGTGCGTTGGTGTCGTCGATCTTGAATTCTGCAAGAATTCTGCATTCTGTGTTTATATGTTTATGAATTTATGTGTGTTTATATGTGTATGTATTTATATGATTATGTTTTGGTCAACTGTTGAAGCCTGGAACGTGATGACTCTCCATCCTGAACCAACGAGGTCAAGATTATATTCACCCACCATCAGTCCTGATCAGATTATTGATCTTAAGTGTTCCATTAGTGGGAGGTAATGAATGATCTGTCTTTTAACATATATACACAATGGCATGGTTTTTCATATTCAGTATTGTTCCATTCTTAATCCATTGGTATGTTTGAATTTCTGAGTCTTTGTCCATCAGCTGGAGGACCAGAGTTCCTCCCAAAGCTCCAAAACACTGAGCTCCGTTCTGTCGGCCGTCACAGTGGGTTTCCACACCTTAACATTTTGCAACAAAAAAAATGAAATGATTTTTAGGCATTTGCTCATTTAAAGTGTGTTAATAGTGTGTTTGGTGCAGCTGTGTCTCTATCAGACAACATTATGCAAACAGGCGTTTTGATGAGTGTTACGCAGTTTATATTCAGCTGTAAAACATTTTGCCAAATTGTGGTTAACCCGTCCAGTTATAAGGAGTTCATCCTGTGTTTTACACCTACATACCTTTCATTTTAATTATACTGAAGGTCGAACATTTTGAATATACACCAAATGATATTTCAGGCTGTATTTGGTAAAAATCAAATAATGCACATAATTTAATTAAAAGTTATTTATTAAAAGATAAACATTCTGTTTGACAAGCTTTAATATGATGCCGTGAATCTGATGACGGTATTTAATCTTAAACTTTCAAGTGACATTAAGAGCAAAATCAGGGATTGTCGGGATGAAATTATTTAAAAGATATATTAAAAGATTCATACCTCACGAGAGCGCAAATACCAGTTAACAGTATATTCTTATATATTAGTTAATAATTAGTGATATGTCCTCAGAACCATCAGGGTTCTCCTGTTGTATTTGACCTGCACCTCTGAGAAGAAAGTCTAAACTTAAGACTTGGTGTTAAAGGTAAACGGCTCACCGTGAGAGACTCCCAGAAGCATCACAAACAGTCCAACCACAGCCTCCATGTTTCCAGGGTCCAAAAAAACGTGTCTGCTGTTCTGAGAACCAAACATGCAAATCCCACTGAACAGCCTGAAGAGATTCCAGCTAATGAACAGCCTCTGAGGAGAATGTGTGAAGACTACGAACCGACCAGAGCGTTGTTGTGTTCATCTATTAATAGAGAAGGAAGTGATACAGGTTTCACTTCCCCTTTTAGCCTCCAACCACGTGACTTCTGTCGGGGAGGAACTGAGTGGAAAAGAGGGAAACATTCCTCCTTCCTGCTGAAAGAGGATTCGAAACTGCGGCTGGAATTTGTCGTCTCTCCATCTCATCATTTCCAACGATACTAGAACATGATCCACTCTGTCAATCATCTCTTAATACATTATTACAAGTTAGATTTGACCAAACGTTGTCTGAACCTTTCAAACTGCAACTGTTTCATAAACAATTTACTTACATTACTGTTTTTTGAACTTTTCAGACTAAAATTGTAAAAAACGTTCTAAACTACAACAAAATGTGTATACATTTAGATCCCAAACCTATTTTTGTATGGGATTTTATATGGACTCGTGCCTGGAAATAAAGTTGAATGAAGGCCTAATTTTCACAAAGATAACTTTCAGGTAGAAACTGTGGCTGTTCAGCTGTCATATAGTTGAAAATCCTGTAAAAATAAAAGGTTATGATCCAATAAAACACAAATAAATTAATAGCATCAGAGGAGAGGACATTAATTTAAATCTTTATCATGTTAACTTATACTCAAATAGCACAGTAAAAATGAAGGAAAGGTCATCACAATATTATATCATTACATAACGTCAGCCTCTGTGAACAATGTTTCTTAAGCTTTAAAATACAAAATGTCTCTGAAGAATCTGTCGACCTCTGCTGGCGAATGTTCATTAGAGACAAATAACTTAAGACATGAAAAGACTTAAATGTTTACACACTTACGTTTTAGTGGAGCAGGCGGTTTGAGTGACATCTCGCTGTTGCTAGTGTTTTTTTAGGTCAGTGTGTTATGAGCAGTGTTGGGCAAGTTACTGAAAATTAGTAATTAGATAAAGTTACTAGATACTTTTAAAAAGGTAATTTCATTATTTACCAGTTAGTGTATATCAAAAGTAATTAGTTACTCGGGAATGTAACTTTTATTTTAATTTTTTTGTCTGCTTTTTAAATGTAATGAATATGAAGACTACTGAACAGTCAAACAAAATAAACATATTTTTTAGACCCATTTGTTGTAATCAACAGGGCAACGGGCCTTCAAATCAAGTAGTAGTACGCTACAAAAGTCCCTTTTAATACTTAATACGAAAAAACTGTCTGTCATTTGCCTGCAGGCAACTGACTCGACAGTTGATGCACGTCATCGACAACATACCGAGCAATCAACGTATTCAGCTCTGTCCGGCTTGCTCTTGTTTGGAAAGGCCGAAAAACACAGGAACCAGGGGAAGAACAGCAGGCATGAAACTACAGACATCCACGACGATAGACAATGACGCGACAAGTGACACAAGAGACACACGGCTTAAATACACAAGGGAGGTACATGTGATTGGACACAGGTGGAAACTATTAGACGATCACAGGGGATGACGGGACAAGGCAGGAAGTGAAGTTACCCGGGGACACGAGTGGCAGAAAACTACAAAATACAAAAGGAAGTGAACCACACCGTGACTGTAATAAAAAATGGGGGGGGGGATGAAGGGATGAAATGATTGATTGACTGGTCTTGTCTTCATGACACTATAACAAAACAAGAAAACAACAATCTCAATCTTTATGAGATAAACATTTTAGTCACACATGTAAATATGCCTGTAAGTTATATTTTGCCTAATTACAGTTTGGTCTTTATCTCTTTAACTCATTTTGAATGCAAAATCACCATTTTTTAAATATACAAATCCTCCAAGTAAAGTAACTATAAAAAAGGTAAAAACAATTTATCTCTGAAACATTAACTTGACGTTTCTGAGACGAATATGGGTTTCCATGAATTTTTAAGATTATTCCAGTGTGTTTTCAATATCTGACATAAAAAGGGGGAAAATGAAACTTTTGAAACTTCTTGAAATTTCAGACCTTCAAACCTTCGGAGATGCATTTTTCTCAGCATAAAGCGAAAGGTGGAACTATACTGTACCATCAATTCCAAATGTGTGTTATGAGCAGTGTTGGGCAAGTTATTGAAAATGAGTAATTAGATACAGTTACACTGTAACAAATTGCTGTAAATTTACAGTGCATTTCTAATGGTATCTTACAGTGTGTCATAATAACTGTAACATACCGTTAAATTTCCATCCCTTGCTTGTAAATTAACGGCCAATGTCATGAATAAACAGTTAAAGCTGTCAATTTACAATAATAGCAGACTACCGTAATTCAACTGCATGTTTCATATATTTTATGAAGTGGTGGAACTACACATACAAGTGCAGTGAATCACAATCCATCTACATCTTTTGCAGGTTAATGTATGGAAGCCCATGTCAGTCACTGAAAAACAGGTCCTGTAAGTCATCATAATGAGATAGTATCTCATGAGATATGATGATGACTTGGACTTACAAGACATTACTATACATGCAGCTGTCACTTTTATCCGAAAACGCCCATGGTTTGACATAATTTTATGTGGAGTAATTGGGGGTTAGGTGTCTTGCTCAGGGACACTTCAACTTGGCACAGGGAGCAGCCAGGTTTCGAACCGCCAACCTTGTGCACCCTCCCTATCCCATGCGCCGCCTTCGCGGTCGTTCCAGTGGCCGGAATGTAAAGATTATAAATATTTGTATTATTCAAAGTGTTCATTGCCTAAAAGTAATTTGAGTGTTAATCGTGACCGACTGCTCCTGAATATGACATCAGACGTGTAGACGTGTAAACTTTGGAGGAGTTTCTCATTGCCTCGTCTCTCCAAGTAACATTGGTAAGTGTTATTTGCCTAGCATGATTAACATTCTCCTCCCTTACATATTGTTGTCTTCCTCAACTTTGTAATTTTAATATTTTACCAATGACAGTGTTTCTAAATATTTTATTTTGGTTTGTTTTACAGATGCACTGGATTAAGGATGCCAGCCATTTGCTGCGGGCAATTGAAAGTGTTCCATAGCGTATTGTTGCAGTTAGTTTACCTTGTTCCTAATGATTTTATGATTCATTTTTTATTATTGTATACATGCGGCATATTTTATGTTTTGATCTTTGTTACAAATCCCGAACATTTGTGTCTTAAAGACATCTAATAAACTCAAACCACTATGACCGAAATGAGTTTGGTTGTCTGTCTTTAATTTGTGGGGAATTGAATGCAAAAGTATACGGTTATAAGTAAACGGTAACATTCTGGTATTTATAACACAAAAACAGTAATCGTATGGTAAGAAACTGTAATCCAATATACGACAACATACCGTAAATTACAGTAGGGCACTGTAAATAAAACAGTAAGTTACTAGTGTCGACTGCCAGTAAATTGCAGTTAATTCACAGTAAAATTTGTTTCAGTTTACGGTAACATACAGTAATTCATTTTATGGTAACATAGTGGAAAACCCATTTACGGTATTATAACGTAAAATAACGGTAAATTCCTGGCGTCCTTGCTGCCAGTAAGATATACCGTTTATTTACGGTGACATTTTTTAGAGTGTACTAGATACTTCTTTTAAAGGTAATTTAATTACTTTCCAGTTATTGTATATCAAAAGTAATTAGTTACTAGGGAATGTGACGTTTAAATTACTTGTATGTCTGCTTTTTAAATGTAATGAATATGAAGAGTACTGAACAGTCAAACACAATAAAATATTTTTTAGACCTATTTATTGTAATCAACAGGGCAACAGGCCTTAAAATCAACTTTTTAATACTTAACTTAATACAAAATAACTGTCTCAGTCATTTGCCTGCAGGCAACCGACTCGACCCCCGTAGGCTCCCCAGCTGCCCGCCGGAGTTCCTCGGGCTGCCCGACCCCCTGCAGCCGGCGCCCTCAAGCCCTTTAATTGAGGGATTAAAGTCCCTTTTTGTTTGCAAACTCTGCGTTTGAGTCTTGCCTCCACCTACCCGTTCGTGACAGTGTCGTTATGAAGAGGGAACGTGCCCTGCATACGAGGAATGTGCCATAGTGAAAAGGGAACCTGCCACCTTTCAACTTTTCGCTCTCGGGTGGTGATGTTGCCGTGATCTATTTCCGGCTCCCTCTTGAACTTGCTCCCGCTCGCTTTTACACATGTTGTATCTTTCGGCGATTACTTAGTTTATTAAAGGTTATTAAAAAAAACAACTAAGGATACAAAATGCTTAGGAGCGAGTTGGAACAAGTTCACAGGAACATCAGCACTCACAAACCAACGCCGGACAAGGGGCACACATGGATAAATATACTGAGGGGCGCAGGTGATTGGACGGGGACAAGGCAGACAATCACGAGGGAACGAGAGCTTTGCCTACCGGCTGTGCGTTGAGGTAAGTCCTATCACATTTAACTGCCAGCGCTCCGCCTCCTGCACCTTCTCCACAGGAGAGGTGACTTTCCACGTCCCCATAGACAGAATCTGCTGCCCAGGCCTTGTTCATCTAAACGCCCCCGTTGTCACTGCCGCCCATGCAGAAGCGCACCGCACCCCATCGGTCTACCCCACAGGTGGTGAGCCCATGGGGGGGACAGTAGGGGGGTGCCGCGTCACTCCTTCGGGCTATGCAGACGCTCCTCCGCCGAGCAATCCGTCTGGGCCTGGCACCAGATGGAGGCCGCAGGCTTCATCCGGGCCAGGTACCTCGTTCTCTGTTTTGTTTTTCCAACTCTTTTTGAACCATTCTTAGTCTGCTCCCTCGCCTGAGATCTCTGTGCCAGGGGAAACCCTCCAGGAGCACCAGGCTCCAGACAACACAGCCCTCAGGTTCATTGGGACACGCAAACCTCTCCACCGCGATAAGGTGATGGTCCCCGGAGAGGACATGTGTGTGTTTCTATGTGTATGTATTTATGTGTGTTTATATGTTTATGTATTTATGTGTGTTTATATGTTTATGTATTTATGTGTATGTATATGTTTATGTATTTATGTGTGTTTCTATGTGTATGTATTTATGTGTGTTTATATGTTTATGTATTTATGTGTGTTTATATGTGTATGTATTTATATGATT